AATAGCCTTATAAGATTTAATTATTAAAAAAATTCCAGGAACGTATATTAAGCTTACTTACGTTTTCCTCTGTCCATAAAGCATTAGTTCAGAAATAATTTTCGGAGTTTTCGTTTTAACAAGAAAACTTATTCTTACATATTTTACATTTAAAGAGCATCAGATGCACTAGAATTTTACCATAACACTTCTAAGTACTACGAGTATATTGGGTAAAAGGCAAAAATTTGAAAGCGGAATTGAGAAAAAGCAAACTGAATTTTTTATATCTGCAACTACTGAACTACGTTGGGGTTTAAATCATTAACGCAAGGAAATCATGCATAGCCGAAATCATGCTAGAAAAAAAAATATTTAAAAAATAATTAAAATAAAAATAATACCAATAATAAAAACTTTTTATTTCTGCTAAAATATATGGGCTTACAGAAAATTATTTGCTCAAAGCAAAAATGACAATTTATTTCGCTTTAAATTAATAGCTCAAGATAATGAGGGCAGTAAATGTAATATTTTTTATTTAAGGCTTTCTGAAATGCCAAAATAATTGCGAAATAATTACTAAGGGCGCCTGTAGGTGCATCTTGCCTTAACTACTGAAATTTTTGTGCTTAATCATAGTTTGATGACAATATTATTTAAAAAATAGAATAAAAATTTATAGTTATATATTCGGAAATGAAATAACTGAAAGTTGTTTCAGTCAATATACCGTATATACCCGCGTATAAGTCGATACCGCGTATAAGTCGACCCCCCCCCAACTTCGACATAAAAAATTCGTAGAAAATAAGAAACCCGCGTATAAGTCGACCCCCACTTCCGAAATAGATCTAGAAACTTCGAAAAAAAATTTTTTAAGTGCTACATTTATTCAAAATCATCTGAGAAAAAAAAAGTAAATATACGATAAAAAATACCTTGGTAAATAAACAAAATCAAAATCCTTCAACGTCTGATTCATGGTCAGATTCGTCAAACATTTCATAGAACTCTTCTTGTCATCATTGGCTCGTCATCATACATATTTTCAGTCTCGAACTTTGGATTGTTACAATCACTACTAGAGCCTTCGTCATCATTTTCACTTTCAAAAGCAGCATTATCATCTGTGCCGTTTAGTTCGTTGCTAATACATTTTTTAAATGATTTTATCATTTCAGAGGATATTTCATTTCAAGCATCTTTAACCCACTGAGCAATTAATGTAATATTCGGCTTTTTAATGTTGCCTGCCTTTGTAAATGTTGGTCGACGGAAGTAATCCACTCTGGATAATTGGGAAAAAATGATCGTATACAATAGTAACCTTCTAGAATTTGTTCTGTAAAAGATTTGCGTACGGAAAATCTATCTGCATTTTCCCTTTTTAAAAGTTAAAAGAAATATTCAAAACCTTTCAGTTATTGCGTGGGCTATTTTTTAAAATTTTGACGTGTAAGCCTGTTAACAAAAGTATTTCATGAATGAACAATAAATATTATAAAGACTTATACGTACGTAAAAACTATCTGCATTTCTATTTTCTTGGCGTGTTGGCGAAACTTTTTTATTGCTCGATATTGATCGGTTGTTTGGGGGCCGAAAATTCTTTGGTTTGATCGAAACTTACTCTAGTTAAAGTATGAAACTCTGTAATTAGTTCGTCACATAATTTAAGTCATGGAATTACTTCAAGTAAGTGACTTATTTGATAAGTCGTCCAATTTGAGTGCAGGAAGAAAACAACTGCAACATATAAAGAAATTTTTGAACTTCCGATTCTTTTAATTTTTTATGGCCCCGCTTATAAGTCGACCCCCCTTTCATCTTTTTTTTTTTTTTTTGTCCAAAATATCTCGACTTATACGCGGGCATATAAGTACATCCAAAGTTTACTGATACGTACTGATAGTATATAAAACTAAATTCATGCCAAATAAGACATGATAGCAAGAAAGTAAGCTCACAGGTAAAATACATTGCCAAATTGGTCTGCAGGCATTCAAACAAACTATCAAGAGAAAAAGGGAGCCAACTGTGAAATGTACAATATCTGCATTATTAGACGTAAGAACTGATACACAGACTATGGTCTGCATATGAAGTATACTGTTCCCGAAAAGACATCAGAGAGCGAAACGTAAAGAACTTGTCTATATCCCCCCCTAAATCTAACTTGTCTATAATAAATGTCTAAATCTAACTTGTCTATAATAAATGTCTAAATCTAACTTGTCTATAATAAATGATAAGAATAAAAAAATGAAGACTTATCTCACTATAAGCATAAAAGTATGCAAAAAAGAAGTGAAGTTTACAGATCAAAGGTCTTATAAGACGATCAAGACAGAGTGTGTTGTTGACAGATGTGGGCTCATGGATATCTCTTTAAATAGTCTCTTCAGATGAGCAGGAAGAAACTCATAATTTGTTATAATTAATGAAGACACACAGCAAAATAAATAGCTGTAAATAGGTCAAGGGAAATACTGGAATTAAGCAAATCCTCCTCAGCACACGAGAAATATCACAAATTACGGATATCACTCACAAAACTAAACTCTGAAATGCAATTCAGATAACTTTCTTTGAGCCATATTCTTTCAAATCTGAATGACAATTGACTTGTACTGGCTGTTGAAGCGATATTTATATGGCGTTGCACAGGCTTCTGGAAGCATCAGGAAAAATCGGTCATAGAGATTTGAATATGCGTTTTTCGGAATCTTCCAGAAAGTGGCCAAGCTAGATAACAATTTTCAAAAGTCTCACATTTGGTGACAAAATTGCAGCAAAGGGCTTTAGGGGAGTGTTTGCTTGTATGACCGCTTGTAATTGAGCTATTTTCCTAATTTAATTGTTGATCCTTCCAGAATTGCAAATTTTACAATTCTATATAAGAAGTAACCATTTAGAAATATATATTTAGGCACAAACTCGATTACACCAAAATATACTTTAAAATACTGCACAAAAACAGCAAATAAACTAACAAATATATAAAATTATATAACAATAAAAATCCACAAAAACTAAATTACAATCTAATAAACATTACATTAACAAAAATTCACATTGCCCTCTTCTTAAGCACAGCACATTCCAGGCAATGTTTTCCTTAAGAACTAGGGACAATTTACTCTCATTACCACAGTAAGATGCAATTCTAATAGTAAGATATGCACTACTGCAGATTTAGAAAAAGGGATTTTTTACAGACGCCTTACTACATTTTAAAATTTCTTGATGACACAGAAGGGTCTTTCCTAGCACGTACGAAGCTTAAGCGAGATCCATCGACGACATTTAAAATTCCACAAACAAATTTGTGTTAAATTTAAACATTTAAAATTCCACAAACAAGATGTGCTCACTGGTCAAAAGGAATAAGAAAAGGCTTTTTAAATAAAAGAACTCCAATGATTTATTAGATGTTATGCTATAGCTAAAGCTCCTTGATCGGGGATGCCATAAGATACCTTCTCTTACTAAAGTAGTCCATGAAACTATGGCGTATACTTGTGACTCGCATTTGAACGAGTTAAAGGCCCAAGAATATCTAGAGTGATCCTTTCAAAAGATGTTTCTACACAGAACGGCTATAATTTTCATCGTGTACGTACTTGCGAATCTTTTCGAAGTTTATACACGCATCAAAGCATCACAGCACGCCCACTGTTCTTCATCTGCTTTGGTCTTGTCCCAGAAGAAGCTTTCAAGAACTTTGAGTATTTTCGTTACAGCAAAATGACCTTCAGTAGGGTTACTATAATAAAAAGTTAGGAATTCCAGATCTCGGTTAGCCTCAAAAAATCTTTCCGTCGTGCAATTAGCATTTCCTTCAATATCATTATTTCCAAGCGAATTTCCTTTAAAATGTCGAAATTTTATATTTCTATTTCCGCTATATCCATCTAGGTACTTAACTCTCCGGATTTTTGAAAATAAGTAGCCAACTGAATGCGACATGTTCTGCGCGCAGCAGAAATTTGCGGGGGTAGAGACAATGACGGAAATGCTCTACTGCATTTATGGTGACTAACAGTTCTTTTCTGGTGTCAGAACAGTTTCTTTTTGAGTATGAGAGGCAACGTGAAAAATGAACAATGCTGTCTCCAGGGTTCAAACTCTGAACATCCTGATGGCTATGTTCACAGCTATTTACACCACAAAGGCAAGCAGCAAGAAAAGAGAAAATTCCCTACAGTCTCCCCCACTAAAAGGGCGACTTAGGAGGATAGGGCCCAGTCATCAAATCTAGGTGTTGATAATTATCGTCCATCCCATTTTAGGTCAGTTGTAGAATTTATTATATTTTTTAAAAGCCAGGCAACTAGATAAAGCAGTAGTCCTCTTGCTGAGATTCGAACTCGGAACCTCTAATCGAAATGTTTTTTGTAACTTTAACGTTGATCGATTCAAAATTACTGTTTTTATAATTTTATATAAGGAATAACTATTTTAAAATGAAATACTGTCTACAAGTTCGATTACACAACAATGCATGCCATAATTATTACATAAAATGGAACAAGCAAATAAACAAATAAACAAAATAAATTTCTTTAAGCTTAGAATTAGAAGTTCACCAGGTAATTTACTCATATATCAATGGCGAAGTAGTTAACATTTATAATTTAGACTTTTAACACTAGAAGAAACTAATTCCCAGAGAAGACAGTGGCACCTTTTTTAACGTTATACAGCTCCTTTGTTACCCATTTTGCTAAATCGTCTGCCTTTTTATTGTCTGGAATTATTTATGGCATATTCTAGTAGATCTATCTTATTAAGACAGGGAATTTACATAGCTACTGATGTCTCAATGTATTCCAGAGAATTTTTTTATGATCTGAGTATCAAAATGAAAATTTACTATAATACTTGCTGTGAAAAATTAGTCATCAAAGACATGTCTGTTGATCCCAGAGTGCCACAAACATAAAATTAATAGATATATCTATATTTGATAAATAAAGAGATGTTATAAGTATTCACCTAATAATAAAACTAGTTACCTCGTATACAATGTAAATAAAGTATGTTCTGCATCTACCCATACGGGTTCGCAGATTTCGGAAGCTCGTTCCATTTCTAGATGCCACCAAACATCGACTTCTGGGTCCCAGGACACCTAAAATTAAATATGTCCTTCACTGATAAGATTCAAAGTAGGAAGAAACTTTCTAATAGTTCATAATAATAAAATACTAACAGATTACAGAGCAACTTGTTATTTTACGTTAATTATTAGCTTGTAATTATGTACATTGCTGCAGCTTATGTGTTGTTACTTTGTAGCTGTTATGTATTCGAGACCCTGTAGCGGATGTAAACATTCAGTATTTGAAATAGGGCTGCTTCGGTTATTGATTGTAATCTTCGAAGATCAATGATGAGAGCTTGCTTGTTTTTTGTTCGAGCTCCTTCTCAGTTATTAAATAATATACTAACTAATATTAACTATAATCTCTTTAACATTTTCCTCTCAAGTTTTGATTGATAACATCCCATGTTTTGAAATCTGAAACTTTCACATCCTTATTTATCTCTTTCCAAAGTTTTGACGAGACTTTGAGGACATGCAAGTTAAAAATATTTCTATTCGACACACACATTACTATATAAATATCCATGCATCAATACGGATTATGTAAATAATGTAAACATACGCCCTAATTTCAGTAAATGTATATGTAATCATTATACTCATGATATCAAACTTTATTACACTAAAATAGAGGCAGGCTCACCAAGCCTTTTTTTAATTATATTTCGCAATTGCTCAATCTGTTCAACTTTTCCAATATGGTGGACATCTATGGAATAAACGGTTTCATCTTATATGCGTGCAAATATATCTCGGTCAAACAGAGACACAGTATCTATGATGCTTCAGCGTTGATGCTGGAAATTTGTAAACACTGGATTCACAAAGAAAATAACTTTGACAACATTTACAAGAAAAAGTCGCATCTGTTTTATTTCAAAGTTTGACGTGGTTACCTCATTACGAGCCTTTTTTCTTCTTGCAAGTTCCATGAGATTTTGACTGAGATAATTTTGCAAATGGTTTAAAAAATGGTCTCTATGATAATGAGTGATAATTATCTTGTTGAAGGAAGTAATTATCGCGGTTTTTATTCACTAATCTTCATTATTATCAACCAACCTTCCAAGCATGTTCAAGTAAACTTCCCTAGTGTCCTACAGATTGCTTTATTTGCCTCATCCGCAGAGGTGAAACATATCGAATGTTTATCAAAAAAATTTAATGATTTCAATGTGTTTATCAAAATGAATTAACGACTATTTCAGTGAAATAAAGTTTGATACCTACTGCATAGTTTTATTTGTGATGAATCATTTAAATATTTCACCAACATATTAATAATTTTATGTTATATCGTATTATAAAATATTTCACATAAATTATTTTCATTAAAAAAGTTTAACATTAATTTAGAAGCAATATTTAAAAGGCTTTGAGGGATTTGATGACATTTGCTTTTGAGCTTCATGAATTCCCAAGACAGCTCAAACTGCAAATTTTGTGCTGCTATACTCTCTGTATTAGGAATATTAGGTAATGGTATCAGAAGAGAATATCCAAAGAGATCAGCATAATATTTTGACACTTAAGAATACTAATAATTATCTTGAATTACAAACCTTTGGAGTACCAGGATTCTAAAGGTTTCTAATTCAAGATAACTGTGGGGATTTATGTGATTATCCTCAGTTAAGGGGCATGAGAAAGTGTAATGATTTGGATTTCCCTGTTTCCCGCATATACATATGTCGGAGTTTGCATAGAAATATGTTGGGAAAGGGTGATGTCCTTTTATATAGTAATTTAGTGAAGTATGGAGATTGGAAGCTTACAATGGGAATGAAATTTCTATGTGAGGTCTTCCCTATGAAGCGTTATCCATAAATCTTGCCAATATTTTGAAGCAAATCAATATCTGAAATTTGAACGAGACCATGGAAGGATGATTTCAGCACTATCTTGATTAAGAGCTGCTCTTGAATTTTTAAAAAAACGTTTTAGCGCTCTTGAAATTACTGGAAACATTGGTAGAATACCATATTTAGTATCTGTTACTTAGTTTTAGATAGCTTGAATTGTCTGAAAATGTTGACTTCATATAACCATCTTTATAAGTAAGAAGAGGTCAAAGGTTTGTTCTGGTGAATAAGTTATAACCTAACAGGAATCTGGTTTGGATCAAGAAATCTCTGCTTCTTTGTTCAAACCTTTTTTTGATCAAAATGCAAAGAAACACAAACTGTTGAAAGATACTTTTACTTTCGCTAGACGAATTACACTGTTCCCGGTTGTTTTTAACACACAAATTCAATTATCACAAGTTTCAAACATATGATATGTGCTATCTTTATTAAATGCATTAATATTAAAACGACAGTATTTTTAAGAGATTGCAAAATCTTAATGGAATCAGTTAAAAAAGTATATATTAAGAACGTAAACCTTGTACAAAAGATAGACAGTTCTATATCTTCTGTTCTACTGTGCCGATTAACGAAATTTAACTCACGTTTTTCATGTTTCGAAAAGCGCGACTTGGGCTATATATTAAATTGATACATAGTAATCTTTCTAACTTAGGAATTTGGGCACAACATCTGACTTCTTCTGGAGTAACATATCCATTTTTCCCATATTTCGATCCTACGATTCAAATAATGCCAAAGTGCCAAGTTTTGTGAAAGTCGTCGAGTAGTTTTTAAAAAATTAACTCTCAAAATTTTAGCTTTTTGATGTTAATTCAATTTGGTATATATTTATTATCTCTTTTTTATTACACTTACTTGATTCCTTATTTCACAGTTCGAAATTTAGGTTTAATCTAAATAAAATTCGCTGATATTTTCTGATTATTTTCTTAATTTATATTTTATAATTTTATAAATTTTCGGAAAAAAAAGTGTTTGAATTGTAACTTAACAAAATCTTTTCACCTGAATGGCATTTTAATTTTGGGAATAGCCATTCACAGGTTGTTAATTATTTACGGTAGAACTAAGAATGTGGCTTTTCAAATTTGAAAACCTTGATATTTAATTGATAAAATCAACGAAAATATTGCACAAATTTGAGGCTTTTTGAAGCGTAATGCTCATACAATGAACCGAAAGAGAGAAAAAGAAATTTCTGTATTACTTCATCTGCCAGCTTTATAAGGAAGCTAAGCACCTCTTCGAACTAAATTAATGTTTTATAATCCAGTATTAATTGTACTTATTTCAACCTATATTATTAAGCGCTTTTACGTTTCATATTTTTAATGCATAGGGCATACTTCGATACTGTTGATTTTGGAAATTGCTGATTTCAAAATTTTACAGAACTTTTTGGTGATATCTTCAACTAGAGCCGCCTTTTATTATCTCTAGCATCAGTTATACATCCCCCACGAGTACAGTAAAGTACATCCGATCACGAGAACAGACTTGACCTCAAATAGAAGAAACTTGACTGCTAGGAAGAGAAGTTCATGTCATTGTGAGAAGAAAAGCAGAACACCTCTCCAAAGATGCAAAAGAGTGAATCCAAATTCCATTATTATTAAGTATTCGCCTTTAGTCCCAATTTACCTGAAGTAAGATGCTGATATCGTTCCACACCACGTGATGCAAGCTTGGCCAAATCTCCTCTCGTAATAGATTACATTGAGTGAAAAACTTCGAACTTTTTTAAAAGTCACAGTCTTCTTGCAATTACAATGTTGATTCCGAAAAAATACGAATCCCAAGTGAAAACAATAATTTAGTTTACGAAAAATTAAGTGAACCATAATGGCACAGTTAAATATGATTTCAAGCTGTTAATTAGTCAGTAAGTAACAAAAAATTTTCTTGACGACTAACTTTGCTGAGCTTCGAAATAATATGAAATATTAAAATGAGCTCTTTTTATACTTAATTGAAAATCTGGTTATTCCCTTTTGAGATCAAACTGGCTATACTTTTGTCAGTGCAATGTAAAAGTTATCAAAGATTCTGATAATGACGCTATTTAGTTGTTTATTGAAATAGGACGTAGGTAAATATGTGCCAACTTTTAAATTAAGAAGAAACTCAATGGGAATAAGGGATCCATTTCATGTAGAAAATTGTACCTAACAGGCAAACGGAAAACGAGTATATGAGCATGCGGCAAATATGACTCACGCAACGCTCAAAAACACATTCCTTTCCTTGTCTTCTAAATAGTTACCATTCTTTAAAACCTGTTTTAATAGCAATGGCAATATATAAGTAAACATTTTTGGTATTATATTGGTTTAATCCAACTTAATATTTAGTAGGTAGTTTAAAAAAAAGTTTTAAGAATTTTCTCTTATCATAGAAAAATGAGAAAACAGGCGGAACTTTGTATTACCAGAATCAACCTTTCACATTGGAGAAGTGATTCTCTGTCATCATTTGATTTGATGCAATAACTCGAGAACTGACTCTCGATCCCCACTTGGTTTGATGCGATAATTTGAGCGGTAACGATGTTTTATTTACGTTTGGTTGGGCAATATCGTTTTATAAGTGTATTCAACAATCTATGCGCATAAAACAGCTGCCAATTTTAAATCTGAAATACTTTTTTTAGATTTATTATTATATATGCGTCTTCAACGCTAGTTCAAACTTGACAGTCGTGAAATAAGAATATTATTTTCAAAGTTAAACATGGAATCTGATGAAGGAATGAGTTCAAGTGAAGGTGAGTTCGATTTTTCGTTGAGGAAGAACGAATTGCGTACATGCATTGACCACTTGATGATAGAGAAGAGGAAAGTAGCGGTGAAGATAGTGATGAAATAGAGGTGTAAGAAGGCGAAAAATGAGTGTGAAAGCGACAGTGATTACTTAGAAGATTCAGAATGGATAATGTGCATAGAATACGAATAAATACCGCAACGAATATCATTGGAAAGGTCCAAAGTACCGAAGGTATTTTCAGACATAAAAGAATTAATAGAAGTCAGCTGTAAGAAATTCACCATTTATGTGGAAAATAGCCTCGAGTTGTTGGTTCTCCAAAATGCCTCGAGTGAGCGAAAAGTGCCTCCAGTGGAAAGCGTAAGTGTCTGAGATATCACATGTTACGTGGTGTGAACGCGAAATTTCCTTTTCACTTTATTTTGTGAAGATTGAGGTAGCTCACTGAATTTTTTATGGATATAAACACTAACACTTAGCTTACCTCTATATTATAACCATTAACCTTTCTGTTCTCATTTAGCTGTCCCTTTAAGAGTTTCTGTGTTGATAGAAGGTTCATCTGATGCTGCACAACTATTGTAGCCGTCATCTCATGGTTTCTAATTCGGAATCATAGTAAGATATCAGAAAAGGCGACAAAACAATTAGTTTCATTACATAAGAAACATAAATATATAAAGCAATATTCTTTTCTCCAAAAGAAAATTTAAAACATTGATGTACCATTTTGAAAGCAAACTGACAGATAATTTTTAGTTTAATGATAATTCTCAAAAGTCTTTACCTTTTTCGGCAGATGTCTAGTGTTTTGTCAACAATATTTTTCAAGTGCACTAACTTCTTTCCTCGCCAAACACCATCTAAAATATTCGCATTTCTTAATTTCTAAATGAGACATACACTTGTATCTCTATATAATGAAGAAGATGGTAATTTTCAATTCATAATTAAACGAAAAAGAAATTGAAATTGAAATTTACGTAACTTAATAAATACAAATATTTTTTATTACATGCAGAAAATTTATTATAATCATCTGAATGACCATGTGCAGATGTCCAATAATAAAAACATTTTTAGCTACAGTTAACAGAACAAATTCATAGAAATGGAATTAATATTGGATTACAAAACAAATTCGTTTAAGTGAATTTGCAGTTTATTATTGTCATGAAATATTTTAAATGCACTAACACATGAATACAAACCAGCAGTGACTAGTATTTTACAATTTCCATCCAGAATTCTTTCAGCGAGGGATTCGGAAGAATATCCACCAAACTGTAAAAAATACATATGAGTTACTATAATGAGTAATTTTTTTAGTATAACTAAACCAACTCGTAAAGATTCGTAAGTAAAAGGATGTGCCAAGTTTCAGAAGTAAATTCTTTTATTATTAAGTGAAATGGATAAAATTTTTGATAATGTTTAGAATGCTTGTTTTTGTTTCACGTTCCACCTATTTATCTATCAAGGCATTCTTAATATTTTTACATCATGTCATTTAATCCACAAACTTTAGAATATTAAACATTAAAAACTGTATATATGAAAAAAGGTACTTACTACTACGGAATGTATGGCTCCTATTCTAGCGCAAGCAAACATGGCTATGACAAGCTCTATGATCATCGGCATGTACAAAGCTACCATATCACCTTTCTGCACACCTAAAAAACGAATGAAAACAAATTTTATTAGGTAAAGTTGCATGAAGATGTTATTTTACTATTAAATTATAAGGTATTTCTCCCGCCTTCGTGGTGTGGTGGTCTGCACGCTGGGCCGGTATTCCAGAGGTCCGTGGTTCGATTCCTGGCGAAGGCGGTTGCTAATTTTTCATCTTGCCTTCTTCCAAAAAAAATCCTAATGTCTCAACAGTGGCGCCCTAACTAAAAGGGTGTTGGATGATGATTCTCCACACCCAGGATTTGGCGATTGGGTCCCCTAAAACTCCAGTCGCCCTTTAAAAGGGGGAGTATATAAGGTATTTTTCCCGACTTCTTGGCATGCCTTCGTGGTGTGGTCATCTGCACGCTGGGCGGTATCCTAGGGATCCGTGGTTCGATTTCCGGCGAAAGCGGTTGCTAGTTTTTCATCTTGCCTGCTTCCAAAAAAATCCTAATGTCTGTACAAAATTACTAAAACTATTAGAATTCAAAAGTGAAACTGATCCAGTAATTTGCTTTGATCTCCTAAGTGTTTCATGTCTGTACAGTTTCACTTTCATCAGTCACTTTCTTCACAACAACTTTTCGTCAATGAATACGCGATTCAAAAGTTTAAAGAATGATGAGTTTACGAATATTTATGAATTTATACGAATTTAGAATTCTTTAGTATAATACAGTTAATTAACATTGCCTTTTTTTTCATTCGGAATTTTCTTATCTTCTTTTGATAAAGAAGTCTGTAAAAACTCTTGAAAGCATTTAAGTATTTTAAGTAGCTATAGACCAATTTTTCAATTCCTTTGACACAGACTCGCATTTCTGCTAGTGATGATTACAAAAACGTCTTTTTAATCTTGAAAGATACAATTATCCATTGCTTGATTTTTTTCAAAGAGCATCCAGCTGAGCATGAAAGTGAGTCCGAGAAGAGTATTACAAAATAGCGCTATTATTGATCGGTACTTCATAGGGTGTTTCAGAAACATGGCTTCGCATCTGAGGTATATATCATGTGTTTCTGTATAATGTATATGGAAATGATTGGTGAATAAAGGCATTCTAAATCTGAAACATCGTTTGTTATTTCAAACAATAGTTATCTATCGAGCTTATATCAGGAGCCAGAGAAGGCATTGAAAATGCAGCAGGTGATAAATTACAGCTGTCCATGAACGAAAGATTGCGTTTGCAATTCCCATGCTGCATCTAATGTGAAAAGAATGATCCAGGCCAGGGGCTTCCAACAGGCTCGATATTGACACCCGGGGGGCCGAGGAAATTCTAAAGGGGTCTGTGATGTTCAAGGGGTTGATAACCGAATAGACACCAGCCTCGGGTCAGGGATCAGCCAGATCGGGATAATCAAGATTCCCATTAATTAAAAATGATTAATAAAATTCTTTATTGATATAAAGCTATATCATGTAGTGAGGAAGAAATTATGAAATAAACATAAGGGAAAAAATAAACTAACATTACTTGATGCATTTTTAAAAATCAATAATATTTTTAATAAGTAAATTTTTCATGCGATAAGGGCAATATAAAAAATTAAATTCCAGGAAAAATCACAAAGTAAAAATTGTTACCAAACCAACATTATTGACTTTTCCTCTTAACAATAAATAAATGAATTATTTTTGAATAAAGTGATTTAAGAACTAACATTTTTGACAAATATAAAAAAAATCGCACCGATACATCATGCTCAGCCATCACATGAATTAAAATCAAACTTTTCCGCTACTAGAATCTGTGATTTTGTTTTTAAAAACTTGTTTATATTTGTGAAAAAATAGTAAAACATAAATCTAATAAACAATTTTGTTCAGATTCTTAATATTCTTAATTTTTGTTCTAATTGTTGTGTGAAAGTTATTTGTGTGTGTAATTATTTGCGTTATGATTATGTTGTATGCTGTATATAATAAAGAAAAATGCAAAGGGGTCAATGAAGAATACTATTTTTTAAAAGGCTTAAATACAAGAAAAAAGTTGGAAATTCCTTATCTATGGACTAATCTAGCCAATAATGGAATAATGCTTAAAATGATCGGGAGATCGCGAGACCCCGCATACAGGAATTTAACACATTCTTAACGAAGGAAAATGGAGAGTCTAGCTGTTTACAATACAAAACAATCATACAAGAAGATCTTCTGAAAGAACTCTTAGTAGCTCTGATGAAACAACATCGGTAAGGACTAGATACATTGGAAACAGTATAGTGAAGGTGTCTACTCGGTATTGCTGTGTACTGTTTTTCAGTTTGAAGATTTGACCTTCCAGTGGCACTGCCTCATTTTTCCAAGCAATAATATTGTCACCACACCATGTAATCAAACTAACAGCCATATTTGTGGCTTACTTGTATTTTTCATGCAATATTTTTTGGCAGAACGATTTTAATCCATTCCTCTGTTATTTTATGACATACGTTGTGTCCTGTGTTCATGAAGACTGTGATAGACTACGTTATGATGTTCTATTCAAACCAACCGTTGGCCGACCATTATTTTGACTAATTCTTCTGCTTTCTCCATAAAGAATGCCTTGTGAAAAGTCATATACTTCATTAGTAAATTTGAACTATTACAGAAGAACGCTTTCAACTTCTGTGTATCTTTGCCTATTTTCATTTTGCTCGTAAACTTATTTTTTAGGGGACTTGTATATTTTAATTTTATACAGCTATTTAAGTTTATTATACTTTCCTATCTCTTCTGGCTTCAGCTTACAATTCCTTACCAGATTGAGCTTTTAGATTCGCGTTAAATGCAAATGAGAAGTAGAAAGTATTTAAGTTCCACTGACTTCAGGAGAGAGAGTTAGGATTCCTGAATAGCGCGCATTTGCCTTTTCACTACGCCTCTCTCACTGTTACTACACTCGGCTATATTACGTGCCTTTTGATAGCTTCGCTGGCTAAGTTAATATTACGGGCCAACTAGTTTAGAAATGTGTTAGCTTCGGCTAAATCTCTTTAGTTGGTCATTAGTTAGTTTTTATTTCTTAAATTTTGAGTTTAAGCCCAAGTGGGGTGCTTTGTTGTACGCCCTGAGAAAGGCGCCAGCTGTAAATCTTTATTTTGAACAAATAAAGGGTAATTAACACTTCTTGAGTTTATGTTTTTGTTCTTGGACTTAAACTATTATTCGCTTAGTAGTTCACTAGGTTCTTCGACATTACATTTAACAAGAAAAAAGCGAGGAATCACACAAACAGATATATGTTATTACAGCAATTATGTTTTTGTGTGATCTATAGTAGGTTCTGAATTTCTAAGCATCTCTTGCTGATTGGAGTTGGAAAGGGAATCGTAGCAGTTGAGACAATTGCTTTTTATTTATTAAGTCAAAATTTTATCATTTAATTATTTTGGTTCTTTTAATAACAGACTGTTTTATCTTTCAGCAAATGAATTTATTTAATGAGCAGTTAGTCCGAAAGACACATATATGCCGTGAGCATATTTCCCCTCTTCTTTGACTCTGCCCAACTAAACCAAATACTTTTCGGCTGGCAAAAGCCTATCGCAGCCAATCCATTGCATTTTTCAACTAGTACTGCAATCAATTTCTAAGAAAACTTGTTCATATCAACATATCACGTAATTTTTTCGAAAGTGAGAAAGGAAAATGTGGAGCATTTTTTTTTATGATTCTGGGTGAAAATGTAAAGATGGAGATGTTTTTAAGAATATAATTTATTTGGTTTGGCTTATTTAGCAACGGCAAAGGACTCGAGGGCTATTTGCCTAAGGAGAGGGATGCCTTCGTGCGGGACTTTCTAAGGAAAACTGGCTGTATACACGTTACACATGAATATAATCGGTTATGATGACATTATAAAATGATTTCGATTATCTTTAATGATTCTTAATGGCAGATAATCTTTAATGATTTTGCTTTGATTTAATTTTGGTTTTTGGAAATTTGATGGTGACAGGCGACTGATTATGTTAACCAGGAATTTTTGTAATCGGCAATGACTGCACACTAAGAAATTAATAAATGAAATGTGAGAAATGAATCAAACTTCCGTAAAAGCAAGCACATTTCAAAGAGAGTTAAAAGATCAGGTTTTATGTGGTTAAATTCGACATAAAAAATACTAAATTGCGAATAAAAAGTTTAGTCAAATAAGTACAACTGTAGAGACATTAGGTATATTTTGGAAGCAGGAGAATTGAAAAATTAGCAACGCCTTCGCCGGAATCGAACCGCGGACCTCTGGAATAGGCACCCAGCGTGCAGACACCACACTACGAAGGCATGTCAAGAAAGCGGGAGAAATACCTTATACGTTCCCCCTTTTAAAGGGCAACTGACGGTTTTTTAGGGCACCCAATTGCCAAATCCTGGGTGTGGAGAATCATCATTTGACAATCTTTTAGTTCGGGTGCCACTGTAGAGACATTAGAACTCCAAATAGCTGAAACAAAATCTCAAATACTGCTGATTCCTAAAAAAAGGGGGCACACTCGCACGCCAACCAAGAATAACGCTCAACGGCCAAAGACTCCGCATTAAGCGAGAACTAAAGTACCTGGGCATAACTTTTGATGATAAACTAAATTGGATCCCTCACGTGCTGGAGCTTAGGAAACGAACAGCACAGATTGCCATCAAGCTCAAGTTGATGAATGGTTACAGATGGGGACTTAACCCCCATTTACTCAAGACCCTGTATATGACAGTCACTGAGAAAATAGTAACATATGGAGCTGCAATATGGGCCTCTCCGATGCAAGGACGCAAAATAAAATATCTACAGAGTATACAAAGGCCGTTTCTGCTCAACATTACTAAAGCTTTTAGAACATCTCCAACGAATGCACTCAATGTCCTGGCCGGATTGCCCCCTCTTTACATAAATGTGGAAAAAGAGGCAGCCTACCAATTGGTGAAGCAGCTTAGCCGCCCTGCGGTGTTTGGTGACCATACTTTTACGGCAGATAACCTAGAACGGGAGTCCAATCGCCTCCACACACACCCGTCGACGCAAGGCCAAGGCGTGCACATTAATATTAAGCAAAACACAAGAGCTACGGACAATGATATCGTATTCTACACAGATGGCTCAAAAACTGACGAGAATGTTGGCTGTGCATACATCGCATTTCGGCAACAACAACCAATACGCCAATGGAAAGGACACTTGGAATCCAGAAACAGTGTTTTTTTTTCAAAGCGAAGCCGCAGCCATTTATCACGCAATAAACACTATTACCCAATATCGACATCAAAAACAGTTTTATAATAACAGACAGTCTGTCAGCATTATATGCTATATTAAATCCTATGCACGGCTCCCCCATAATTGCAGCAATTCAAGAACAACTCTCTTTTCACAAGACCTTAAAAATCAACCTAGAATGGACAAAAGCGCATATTGGCAACCTTGGGAATGAGGCCGCAGATCGGCTCGCAAAAGAAGCAGCCCAAAATAATGATGAGGAGACACTGCAAATTCCATGGCCCACCTCATATCTAAAAAAGAGCTTGAAACAGGTCGCTTTCTCACTGTGGCAAGAGGCATGGAACAACGATGAGACAGGACGTCGTGCGTATGCGCATCTGCCAAAGGTTGATCCAGAACGTCTAATAGTAAATCCACAACTGGTCTACTATATTACCGGGCATGGCCCGTTCCCAGTCTACTTTGAAAGATTCGGCAAGACGACTACCTCCTTATGTTGCTGCGGTGAACTGGGAACGCCAGAACACTATGTCGAAAAATGCTCACTAACGGAGGATCTACACATCTCGTTCCCAGAGACAAAACAGATTAGCCTTCAGCAGGTTCATAATTAAGCAGCGACATCTCAAACGCAGCATTACAAAATTGTTGACAAGCTTATGGGCTTAGGAACAAACCTATGCCAAGTGTAAACCATTTAAGAGTACTTAGTGCATCATGCAACATTCCCATACCAGCTAAAGGGAGCTCACTGGCAGCATTATATAATTGTAACTGCACATATGAATGGCTCTAACTTATTATGTATGCAGCAGTAGTATACAAGTACTTTGTCTTCATAAAACGCAGTAATGGCAGCATCTGTAATCACAGTCAGCAGCATCATATGTACACATGAAATACCAAATGTATGCTTTATGTACTCCTATATTCTGCCACCAATGCACTGTTATCTTCGTATTTTTGTAACGCCAGTCTGCAATTTCACTATACGTATTAAATTTGCAATGCGTATTTCCTCCCGGTATTTAATTCAATAATCATGTATATAACTCACTATCTCGTATCAGTATAATCTCACCCTCTCTATGTTTCAATATCACCGCACTATGCATCTCAAGTCTGTAATTTATATACGCCATTATTACACACTCCTATATCCTGTCACCAAGTGAACTGTTTTGTTTATGTATTCTTGTAGCGTCTGTCTGCATATCTTGCTACGTATTTAACATTATAATACGTATTTCTCTCCCATATTTAATTCAGTAATCCTGTATATAATTTATTATCTTATATCAGCATAATGTCACCCTTTCTATGTATTTCAAATTTGTAATTCATATATCCTCCTTGTATAACTCAGTAATCCGGTATCTAATTTAGCATCTTGCATCAGTATAAACTCACAAGGTACTTCATGTCACATTTTATTCAGTAACAGCATGTTTCATGTTTCAGTATGTTCAGTTTCCCATGTTTCTCCGTCTTTCAAATATCAGTATAACATAAGTATTAGTATCAGTATCTTATTTCAGTATATCCTCATTATGTTACCCTCGTGTTTCAGAATGCTCAGATACAATGTGCTTTACTATGTACCTCAAGCACCAGTATAACCTTTCTATACAATTCAATATTGACATATGTATATCTCTCCTGGATATAATTAAGTATTCCGTATATAACTCAGTACTTTGTAGCAGTACATTATGTATTTCACGTATTAGAATGTACAATTATAGTATGTTATATGTTTCAGTATGTTCAGCATTTCCTGTTCCAACATGTTTTTCAAGTCTCAGTACAATCTCACTATGCCTTCTATGTTTGTTATACAAATATCTCTCTTGTATATAATGCAGCAATCCTGTATATAATTCAGTATCTTATATCAGTATAATCTTACCATGCATTTCACGTTCCGGTATGCTCTGTTATAGTATGTTTTCTGTCTCAGTACGTACAGTATTTCATGTTCATTCATCATCAGTATCTCGTGTAATTAGCGTAATCAGTAATATCTCACTATATATTTCATGTTTCAATATGCTCAGTCATAGTATGCTCATGTTCAGTATGTACAGTATTTAATGTTTCACACCATGTATTTCAAGTCTCAGAAGTATCTGTATAACCTCATTATGTATATCATATCTTAGTATGTTCAGATACAGTAAGTGTCATAATTCAATATGTATAATACTTCCTGTTTCAATATGTATTTTGAGCATTAGCATAATCTTACTATGCATTACATGATTCTATACCATATTGTACTCCAATATATAATTTAGTAATCTGGTATATAATTCAGCAACTTGTGCATACTAATGTCTGATAATTCAGCCTGCAGCAGCAGTGATGACCCTTGTTTAGCCATGTCATTTTCTACAATATTTGTAAAATAATTTCCCAGTGGCCGCAAGGGTATAGCTGATGCAATGTGGCCTGCATCAGACGCTGGGTTTCAGTGGTCGGTGCGAGGCGTTTTTGTGGACTCAGTGACCTTGGCGTTTCACTAGACACAGGTGGACGTGGCGCTATACCAATTAACCCTAATGGTAGAGGGATGGTGCCCACGTCCTCCGTCGCATGTCGCATGTAGAGACATTAGGTCTTCTTTTGAAGCAGGAAATATGAAAAATTAGCAACGCCTTTGACAGGGAATCAAACGGCGGACCTCTCAATTACGCACTGAGCGAGCAGACCACCACACCACGAAGGCGGGAGAAATACCTTATATACTCCCCCTTTTAAAGGGCGACTGGGATTTTAGGGGACTCAGTCGCCAAATCCTGGGTGTGGAGAATCATCAGCCAACACCCTTTTAGTTCGGGCGCCACTCTAGAAACATTAGGTTAATTGGAAGCAGAAGAGATGAAAAATTACCAACGTCTTCGCCGGGAATCGAGCCACGGACCTCTGGAATACGCGCCTAGCGTGCAGATTACCACACCACGAAGGCATGCCAAAAAAGCCGGAGAAATATCTTATAATATGTCGAAGACCGGAGGTTACTTGAAAAGAAATAATAAGTTTGTTTTCGATTAACGGCGTCAAAAATTTTACTGGTACTTTACCAGAGAAAAAATCATCTTTACCTTTCATTCTGCTTTTAATCGTGATGGAGCTTTAGCTATATTTATGAAAAACGAAGTTCAATTTAGTACTTCTAGAACAAAAGCCGATACTCCAATGAAAGTTATGATCAGAGGTTTAACCGAAGATTCCAGCATTGACGAAATCAAAACTGAGCTGAAGTTACAATTCATTATCCATAAAGAGATAGACGCGTAACATGTGCTCATTTTGTAGGTTTATATATTAAAGAGAAGCGCAGGAGGATTAGCTGCCTAAAAGAAGGAATTCTTTTCATAGTCAGTTTCTCTTAAGTCAATAAATGAAGTATGAGTCAATTTCTCTTAAGAAGAATAAGAATTTCTCTTAAGAAGAATGAGTCAATTTCTGTTAAGACTTCTTAAGAGAAATTGACTCAATTTCTGTTAAGACTTCTTAAGAGAAATTGACTCTTACTTGCGTTTATACACTAAGAAAAATGCCAAATAAGAATTATTTCTAGTTGAGTGTATTGATGATAAAATAGGTAGCATTGTTTTTCGGCTCGCGTAACACCGTTCTGTGTATTGACAGCAATCGAAGCAGATTTTCTGATATTTTGTAATTACACGGTCAAGAACAGATATTCTGTTTATGTTACTTTAGTTTATCAGTTACAGAAAGTAGTTTTTGAAAAATATTTTTTTGTTTAATCTATTTTTGCATTGTTTCATTTTAATATTGGTTATTAGGGACATGACCAAGATAAAAAGTCAAATAAATTGTACTCATAGCTATTGCAAACAATAGCACTGCTAGGGGAAGAGAGCTCAGTATGTTTAGCAGGTTAGATCTTATAAATCTTTTAAAATGTAAAAACACCAATTGGGCTGATAATTTAAGAAGAAATCATTGCAGCATGATAAAAAAATAACGCAAACTGCAGTCGTCTCTCAAAATAAACTTAAAAAAAAAAAAAAAAAAAAAAAAAAAAAAAAAAAAAAATTGCCGCTCACCTTTACTTTTGAGAACATTAGCAAACCGACAAACTCGGCGAAGTAGTTCCCTGTAGGTAATCTTGTCGGAATCTTCAGGATCGTTACCTTCCCTAAAAAGAGGAAAACCAGATATCAATAAGAACATGGAGTATGGTAAATAATCGATAAATTAAGGAGATTGAAATGTCCAGATAATAATGCATTTAAATTTCAGATTAATTGATGTTTTATGAAGCTTTTCCTTATGAAGGATAGTTTGGTAATATGTGAAAATTTCTTAGCAACTACGAAAAATTAAAAAATAATGAAATAAGTAATGAAGGAGGACATATAACATATGAAATCATTATTGTAAAACGCTAAGTATGAAAGTGATTTGAAGTACAACGGGGAGGAGAAAGAAAAGTTCTTAACTATTGATCGATGGGATATGGAATAGGTAACTCAACCAAAATTTTACAAAGGGAGAATAATTTTGTGAAACTTATATTTACTGACCATAAATCGGCATACTTTATAATCAAATAATTGCATGTGCAATAAAACAATAGCTATGTATTCAACTGGTCTGATACTTTAAATTGTCAAAGTTTGAATTTTAAGAGAGACGAGTCGTGCGATCCGTTAATAATATGATCCGTTGATAAAATATTTTTAGAGCATATTATATATGCTTAAATTCAGATTTAATAAAATTGATCAGAAAATTTAAAATTGGAATAGGGATCATTTTCAGAAATGCTAGAAGACGAAACGCGATCCTCATGAATTGTTGGTGATTATAAAGAAAGACGCCAATTTCCCTTGAAAAGTCAGGATTTTTCGTTGAAATCAACAATGATTCTCTTGTTTTAATTGATTAAATTTACTTTTTAAATTTATCTTTTTTAATTCCCAAATACAATTTAATTAATTACAAATTCCAATTTTTCCATAGTATCGATTTACTATTTAAATCATATTTCACATTTCCCAGGAGATTATTTTGTCAATTACATATGTTCTCTCTGTATATATATATTATATATATATATATATGTATATACACTCATGTCCAAAATTATGTTTACATGCATAAATTCACGAATTTCTCAGAAACTATGACATATAATTTAATGCATATTCGTGGAATCATACATAACATGATGACACATAAATGCAAAAGAAAAAATTGAAGATCACCTCATATGATATAAAATTTTAGCATGAAACAATAAAAATGGTAATAAAGTGTGACAAAGAGAGTTAAGAAAAAAAGGAATGATTCAGAAAAAGAATTAAGTCTTACGAATTTAATATGGAATATGATCTCCCCTGACTTGTACACACATATCACAACGTGTTTTAAGGCTGGAAATAACGTTGTTAACCACAGTTTGGGGTTAATCTCCACTCTTCCAGCAATGCCATCTTCAGAGCATTTACATCTCTAGGAGGAGGATGTATACGTGCAATTGCTCTTCCAAGGTAGTCCCATAAGTTCTCTATCGGGTTAAGGTCAGGAGAATTTGGTGGTCAAGGTATTCGCTTAATGTCTTCACTTTCAAGGAATTCATCAACGAGGTTTGCTCGATGTGGACGGGCATTATCATCCATAAATAAAATGTCAGGTCCATATGCACCCCTGAAAAGTCTTACATAAGGATCTAAGACCTCATCTCGATATATCTGGCCTGTCACAGATCCGCTGCTGAACACGTGTAGGGGCGTACGTCCATCGATCATTATTCCACCCCATACCATCACACCTCCACTACCGAAACGGTCACCTTCCACAATGTTCGAGGGATCATTTCGTGTTCCTGACTCCCTCCAGATGTAAACACGTTTTAGAATCACCAGTTAAACTAAACCGCGACTCATCAGTAAGAGAGAACATGGGACCATTGATGTTCAGTCCAGTTTTGATGTTCTTTACACCAATTAAAGCGATCCCTCCTTTTTCTGTGAAGACAGTAAAAACACATACCCTTGGCTTTCTGGCATAAAGGCCTTTTTCATTAAGCCTTCTGTATATTGTTTGCCATGATGCAACAGTTCCAGTGGCGGCTGCAAGCTCTGAACTTAACTGGCGAGCAGTAGCCTTTCTGTTACGACGGGCAGTTAATGCCAGATACCGATCTTCAGAAGCAGTTGTCATTCGTTTCCGACCTTGTCCAGGCCTCCTTACAACACTTCCATCCTTTTGAAACTGTTTCCATAGCTTAGAGATTGTCTGTCTTGAAATATTCAGACATGTGGCTGTTTCCATGATTGACTGCCCTGCTTCTAAACGGCCGATAATTCGACACTTTACAGATTCTTCCAAATGATACTTCGAAGCCATAACAAACCGCTTTGAGTCCCTACACACTGAAATCAAACGCTATGTTACAGAAATTCACTCAAATATTCAGTGTGCACAAAGCGCTTGATTCACCCCTTGGATGACGTAACGCCTAGATTTGCATATCACAAACCGTTTGATTACTTTTGATTGGATAATGCTAATTAGGCTTGGTTTTCACACATTTCCTGCAAATACGGATCACATTGATTCGATATTTCATTGAATATCATCATTTTTGGGTATGTAAAGATAATTTTGGACATGAGTGTATATATATATAGGTATGTGTATACGTATGTATTTACTTTTGGGCATTTGCTGTAAGATATGCTTTTATGCTTTCACATTGGTAAATTTAGACAGATTCTGAAACTGAATTTCAGTTCACACAAATAACAGACACTGCAAAATAACGTAATTGTTTACAAAGAACAGATATCAGAATTGAATTAAAAAAGAAAAATTATATACTTGAATGTACATCATCATAGAAACCATGTAACGAAACTAAGCACTTTTTGCTATTACAGGAAATGAGCTTCTTTTTTTTTTAAATTTTGAGTGGATGAATACAAAACAGGACAATAATTTTTTCTGATGCTGCTGAACTTCAGACTCAACTACATTACACAGTTCATGAGAAATTTCAAAACTAACACTTTTCTTTATTTCATACAAGATTTAATGTATTGCAGATGATGTCAAGGAAATAAACCCAATTAAAGATGTACGATCTCTGTAAGCTGTTATAAAACAGCACATATGTGTGGCATCTGTAGAATGACATTGTCCAATGAATCTTTTGCTATCTTTAATTACTAGCTTTGAAAAGGTGGTTATATTTCAGTAAGAATGTGCGGGAACGTTGAGAAGCACAAATTCATCTTTCACCAAATGTGTTCAACTATATCGAAATTAGGATTGGGTTTTTCTCGGGAGAAACGATTTTTTTCCAAGTCAGCAGAAAACATTTGAAAAATGCCGAAGGACAAACGAAGAAATGTAAGAAACTGGTAGAAAGTGGCAAATATGTGTATCCACGGGAATTCTAAAGAACCTAAATTAAAAAAACAAATTGCATGCAATGAATAGGTTCTAACTTCATATTTATTTTCATTTCGCTTTCTCTCTTCCTAAAATAAACCATATTATGGGTAAGTTGGGGTAAATAGAAGAAAAAATTAAAAGTTTTGTTATTTTACATACCTGATAATGTGTACCCCCATTTTAAAATATACTATTATTTTCATAATAAATAAAAACTAATTCAATATTTCACTTCAGATCCAGTAAAACGTATGGTAAAATTCTTAACCATTTACTGATATGATAGTTTGATGAAATTTCTTCCTCAAATATATTAGCCTAACAAGACAATGATCGTAATCGTTCTTAAGAATTTATCAATTATAAATGAATTAAAGATATTTCAAAATTTTCATTTTTAAAGTTTTACTTCACCTGATGGTCTTGAAAATGTATGAAATCCTATTGTTCAATAGAAAGATATACCCGCAATTCCTGAAATTTAACATCAGCTGTCTAGTGTCACCGATATTCTTTTAAGCTGTCCTTTAGCAAGATAAAAATAATTTTCTATTTGCCTGGATTTACGCACGTACGTCTGGATTGTATTTGTTTGGATTTACGTATTACGCCAACTAGATTGCTATAAGCTATAGGGAAGTTCAGTTTCGTTATTCTATATTACCCTATAATAACGATGATGTAAATTCAGTTTCCTCTAGATGAATGCATTATATTAAATATTTTTTGTTTATTTAGAGAGTTTAGTTTCAAGTGGGAATAGATATATATGTATATATGATAATAAAAGTTTATTGCAAACATACAAATGAAGCTAATTAAATTACGTCCAATGCAGCATTTAAGTTATTATCAATATAAAAGTGGTGCCTATGAATAAAATATGAATATAATGAAATAAATATGAAACAGTGCAAAAATAAATTTTTCCCACTTTAAATGGAAGAAATCTATCTCTTCCAGATATTTTTTTCTGTGGTTTCTTCTACATGGGAAACGTTTGTCAACCGTGACCAAAATGCCGTTCATAGTCAAATTAGCGCATGTGCTATGGAACTTCATCCTCTGTAATTAGTTGTAGCATTATATGTAATATCTGTTGTTAGCATATCTATAATTCCTTTGATCGTACAAGAAATGACAGACACAACGGCTATCACAACGAAACTATTACACTATGCGAAGAGCAAACAAGTGAAATAGACACAGGGGGGGCCGAACTACTCAAAATGCATAGATGGAGCTGGCTGCAAGCGAACGGTATAAGTCAGCGCCCGTCCCTTTCGCCGTCGTCATTTGAGAGTATGGACAGCAATGATATAAAGCGATTATCACAGTTAGCGTTGAACAGCGTGGTTCCTATGGAAGGAAGGGGTACAGGGTAGCGAGATCCATCGTCGCATGGTGTCAGTGTACGGGAACAAAGCACTTTCAAGGCGCACTGTATTCCCGTTGGTTGGCCAAGTTCAGCAGTGGAGTGGAGACTGCAGCCAAAGGTGTCAACGCGGGGAAACCAGCAACATCACATACAGCAGCAAATGTGGCAGCGGTGTCGGATTTGATCATGGCGAACAGACGCATAGCGTTCAACAAGATGTAGGAAGAGACAGGGCTTGCGCAAAGAACATTGCACGCGATTATGCATGGTGATTCGGAGGTAACAAATGTGTGTGCAAAGCGGGTAAACCTCTAACCAAGACCTCGGACTACGCCTTGCTTGACAGCATGAAGGAC